AATCCAGGGTGGGCAAAGGGAGGAAGAGACAGGTTGCCAGAGAAACTAAAGAGTCCCCTTCCTGCCCCTACCCAAGACTTCAGGGTAGCCAAGTTGTGGGAAACAACCACATGGACAAAGTTTGGCATCCTAGACACTTAGGCAGCTCAACACCTGGGGTCCTGGTAGGGTTCCAGGTATTGTCCTGAGGGCCCCACATCACCTCCACCTTGCACTGTTAGCCAGTGGCACCAACATGCCTCACCTCCTCCTCCTGGGTCACCTCCTCCTCCTGGGCATCACTGTGATCACAGAGCCTTCCTTTCATGCCTGCAGGTGTTTCTCCCTGGCTCATATTTGAGCAACATATGAACCTGCCCAGTCACTGCCCCAGGAAAAAATCCAGTGGCCCAAGCTATCCATAGGGTACAGAGTCAAGAGACTTGACTTAGTGGCTTCCAACTGATCTCAGGCACCCTCTCAGCCCTCTCATCCCAGCACTAGCCTGGAGCTGTTCCTCTCCCCCGTCCCACCCCACAGTGTTATCTTGAAAGGCATGCTTTGCCCTGGAGCAGGGGCCTGGACCCTGGTACTATAAGGACAGCTCCCTGGCCTGCCCCGCCCTGGCCTGCCCCACCTGCAGGGTTTGAAGCCAGAGCAGTAATAGTCCACGCCTCACTGTGTAAATGCCCTGTAGGTGCCTGGCCCTCTTAGACTGTGAGCTCCTAAACACAGCAGGGACTTAATAACTGCTGCCTGCTGCCTGCATATGGCCTTGTAGGTTGAAGAGGCAGAGCCCCAGGAGCAGGGCTGCAATGTCCGTCCCCAAGGCCTGGCAGGAAACCTGGCTCCTAGTCTCCAACTCCCACAAACTATGGTCCAGGCCTCACCTACACTCCTCCACCCAGTGGAGCCCTTTTGGCCAGCCATCCAGTCCCAAGGCACCTTGGCCCCTTCTGGGGACCTGGATATAGCTTTAAAAGATGTGGGCTGGGCCCTAGTGAGGAAGCCTAGAGAAAAGGCTCCTGTTGCAGGGTTCAGGCCACACAAGACCAGCTAGCACCGCAGAGCAAATCCAAAAGATCCTGGAATGTACCAAGCCCAAAACTGCCTGGGGCCTCTCTTGTGCTGCCCGCAGCCCCACATCTTTGCTCTCAGCTTCCAGGCTGGTGCTGCAACCCCTATCCCTTGTTAAGTACCCTCTACTTTCGAACTCCACACCAAGGAGACAGGTGACAACCAGAAATGTTTAATTGCAGAAAAGTAGCCAGCACTCCAATCATGTTACTGAAGCTGAGGAAGGATCAGGGCTCTCTATCCAGGCTGGGCAGGTGTGACAGGAAAGGGCAGAAGGAGTGTTTGCCACTGGGCCTCAGAGCTGCGAGAGGATGTTGGGGGCCAGGCTGCAGGTGAGGCCTGTGCCATCTGGCTCCACATTCAGGGTCTTTACCACACCATCTTCTATCACCATGGAGAACCTGTGGAGAAGAGTCAGGTGGGCACATCAGCTCAGCCCTGAAGTCAGCAGGGAAGGGAGGAGTCAACCTCAGGAAAGCCCCATGAACAGCTCTGAGACTTTTACCTCTTGAGCCGGCGATTCCCAAAGAGGGGTACCAGTGAACTGTCCAGCAATAAATCTGTCTCCTAAGAAGAGAGATGGAGAAATGCATCAGGAAGCCCCAGCCCAGGCCAAAGGCTTCTCTCCATACTACCAGGTTCCTCCAAGCCCTGCTCTGAAAGTGCCGCACAGGAAGTGGCTGAAGGGCAGAAGTGATGAAACACACGCACCTTCCCAAAGGCCCCAGTGGGATCAGCTAGAAGTCGGACCTGAGGACACAGAAAGTAAAGGTCACAAAAAGCTACTACCTGGCCCTAGCCCTGCAGATCCCACAGCTCACCTTGCCTTCTGCTTTGTGGGCTTTACCCCACTCTCCAGTCACAAAGACATCGTTAACACTCAGACATGCCACCACCTGCACCCCCTTGGCCTTCAGCGCACCAGCCTGCTCCACAAACCCTGGCAGATGGGTCTATGAGGGGTAAAACGAGTCAGTAAAGGAGTAACAGCATCGGTCCACAGCCCCGCTTCATCTCCAGGCCCCCCTCACTTCCCTGACTCAAATGATTTTGATCAGGCATGATAACTGTGTGAATCATTAGATTCTCTTTATGCCGCTAGGTTTGTTTGTTTGTTTTTTATTTTGGGTTTTTTGTTTTTTGGTTTTGTTTTTTTTTTTTTTTTTACAGGAAATTGAACTCAGAACCTTGCATTTAGCCAGGCAGGTATTTATGACACTGAGCTAAATCCCCAGCCTCCCTTTACGCCACTAGGAAACTCATATCCAAATATCCTGTGACCAAAACCATGAATCCCCCCATGACCAGAACTGTCTTTTTTTTTTTTTTTTAATGTATTTAGTGCAGGGTCTACAGGGTCTCAACTACATAGATCAGACTCATAGTGATCCCCCTGTCTGCAGCCTCCCGAGCACTGGGATTACAATGCACCACCATTTGCTAACTCAGTGTGCCCCAGGGGGTCAGCCCAGCACGGCTTTGCTAGGGATCGAACCCTGGTCCCTGCGCTCTGCCTAAGCAGGTGCTTTAGTCTGCTGAGATATCTGGCCAGCCCTTTTTTGCTTTTGCTTTTTTGAGACAGGGTTATAACATCATTAAATTGCTCAGGCTAGGACTGAACTTGCAATCCTTCTAACTCAGCTTCCCAGAATGCTAGGACTACAGATGTGTACTACCACACTCAGTTTAAGAACTATGTCTTTTTTGCCCAAGTCCCACATGCTATCCAGACTGCCTGTCATCCAGTAGCATCAATAAAATGTCACTGTAGTCCTCTTCTACATTCTTGGAATAATTACCATCTTGGCTCTGCTTGTCTTTCCTGAAGTCACTGAACTGTCTCACCATTTACACACCTGATGCAAGCTGCCTCTAGACAACATAAGACTTAGAAAAACTGGAGAGTCTCACCTTGGAACACCCGGGGGTAAAAGCCCCAGGGACTCCAAACAGCACACCCTTCTTGCCCTTGAACAGCTCTGCCAGGTTCACCTTGTTCCCAGGCTCCCCTTCAAACACCTCCACAGAGGGGATGGCATCACCCACCTGGAGAGAAGGGCACTGGGTAAGGGGGAATGGTAGCAACCAGAGCGAGGGAACAAAACCTAGCAACTGGATATGCTCCAGCCAAGACTGAAAACCAACAGAAAAGTCCAGCGTGTTCCCTCCATCCACCACCTGGTTACTCCACATCCTTCAGGTTTCAAGGTAGCCTGGCTATGTTTAAGGGCCCTTTGGTAACAACAGAGAAGGGAGAGGCAACCTACCGAAGTGTTGAAACCTTGTGCAAACATGCTGCCTAGGCTAAAGGGTGTGGAATAAATGGGGGTGGGGGTGGGGTAGAAGGCCTTGACAACCTGGCTGGAGAAAATCCTTGCCAGGTCTGAATCTCCCAACCACACCAAGCCACAGAAAGCTGGGAAAGTTAGGGGAGGAGTCCAGCCACCTGGGGGCTACCACGGAGGAAGGAATCTTGGTGGGGGGGGGTGACCAGTTCACTTAAGATGGAAGAGGACACCTGGGGGTCAGAGGAGGCAGACAAAAGGGGAAGGTTAGGAAGTGGGGGAGTCTCTGAGGAGCCCAAAGGTAGGACAAGAGAGAAGGTAGGTTTCTCAGAAGGGGGGGGCGGGGAGGGAAAGGGAGGAGGCTGAGGATGGCTCCAGATCATGGGATTGAAATGAACACAATTTCGGAGTGATGGCACAGGCCTATACTCCCAGCTGCTGGGGAGGCTGAGACACTCAGCCAGACCATGTCTCAAAAAAAAAAAAAAAGGACTAGACATATAATTCAGCAGTCTTTTGAAGTGAAGACGGGGTACTGAAAAGAAAAGTGGGAATCAACCATGGAGGGGAAACAGTTTTGGGGTGGGATGTGGAAGACAATACTGGGGTCTACTGGACCACAACTGTGTCTGAAGATGGTACACTCTGCACAGTACTAACAAAAGCGTGTGAAGATGCAGCGAAGGATGCATAGACCAGTTGAAAAGGGGCCCTGAGGTAAAAGAGAAGCTTCCAGAAGGTGGAGGATGGCATGAATGGTACGCGATGGTCTGAAAAGAATGGGGTCCTGTCACTGCATGCCGCACAGCGTTTGAGGGAGTGGTTGAATGGGGGGCTTCAGAGCCTTCGGGTTGTCTCAGGAGATGGGGGCACAGGACTACTAAATTGTCAAGAACGGAGGGGCAGCCTTCCTGAGGGTCCTCGAGGGCAGTGTGAGACCTAGAAGGCAAGAGAGAAGGCGACACCCCCAACGAGGGGGTCGGGGTCCCCCTGAGGGAGATGGGGAAGGGTCAGACCCAGCCGGGCCAGCGGTCACCTTAATCGGGGCCATTGCTGCGGCGGCGCTGCGGAAACCTCGGGCCCCGTCACACGCCCACCCTCTTGCTCCACTTTCCAATCGCCGGCTCGCTGCTGCTGCTGCTGCTGCTGCTGCACACTGACGAACAGCCCTGCCACTGAGCACCGACCCCGCTAGGCGGCCTAGTACAGTGAACCGCACCAGCTCCATGCCCGCCCCCCGCCGCTCCACCCCGCCCACGGACCCTGCAGAAGGTCGAGCCGCCCTCACTGCGCAGGCGTAAATGCTAGCACGCGGGGCGGGGCTTCCGGAGTCAGGGCTTAGTTGCGTTAGGGGATAGGCCAGTGCCGCAGTGTACAAATGGGGCGGGACTTTTAGGGTGGCGCAGCTCATTTGCATAGAAGGTATTCGTGCTCTCTAGATAAATCTTAATTTATGGATAGGGCAGTGTTTCCGTTCCTTAAAGGAAACACATGGGACAATAAAAATAGGCTCCGCCGGGGATATAGCTCAGGGGCACAGCGCCTTCCTAGCAAGCACAAGATCCTGAGTTCGATTTCCCCTACCACAAAAAAAAAAGCAGGCTCCAGTGTACGTCTGTTTTATTTTAACAATCAACAAGAGCCTCTGCATTGCACATATTTTACATATGACTTGCATATTACGTATGATTTATTGCAAGCGAAGTTTGGTTTGAGCCATAGTAACCCCCGCAGAGACGCTTCCAGTAGAAAAGCAAGGAAGGATCAGATCATCTACATAGCTGTGTTCCGTTAAGCACCAAAAGTTCCAGCAAATTCGCCACTTCCGGTTCCCCGAGACGTCCAATAACGCAAAGAGAGCGGCCCCGGAAATGACGCATGGGGGCAGTCTTTTCCGGTTCTGACTTGGGGATCAAGTGTGGCGACATGAAACTGCTCACCCACAATCTCCTGAGCTCCCATGTGCGGGGGGTGGGGCCCCGTGGCTTCCCCCTGCGCCTCCAGGTACTGGCCGAGGAGGGTCTCTTGCCCTTTTCCCGGACGGGATGGAGGACCCAGAATTCCATCTCTGCCTCACTAAATCTCCGCCCCACAGGCTACCGAGGTCCGCATCAATCCTGTGGAGTTCAACCCAGACTTCGTGGCTCGGATGATTCCTAAAGTGGAGTGGGCGGCGCTTTTGGAGGCGGCGGATACT